TTGGGGTCTGCCCCAGGCTGTGGTTTGACCCTCCCAGTGATGGAGCCACACCACCATGTTTCAGGCTCTTCACTGGGGGTGTTTGTATAACCCCAGACTGCCTTGGGTTGTGAGGGACCTCAAAGCCCATCCAGTGCCACCCCTGCCATGGCAGGGACACCTTCCACTGTCCCAGGCTGCTCCCAGCCCTGTCCAGCCTGGCCTTGGGCACTGCCAGGGATCCAGGGGCAGCCCCAGCTGCTCTGGGCACCCTGTGCCAGTGCCACTGGGTCACTGGCTGTGACACAGTGCATTGTAAACCCATTACTGCTCTGGTCTGCATTTTGAGCTAGAGGTCTGGTCCCTGCTGGCATCTTTGGTGCTCCCAAACACCACCCAGCAGTGATGGAACCATAGAATCAGAAAATCCTGGAATATCCTGAGTGAGAAAAGACTAACAAGGATCATCAGTGCAGCCCCTGTCCTCCACAGCCACCCCAACACCCCCACCCTGAGCACCCCTGGGAGCTCCTGCAGCTCTGGCAGCCTTGGCACCATTGCCTGGGCAGCCTGGGCAGTGCCCAGCAGCCTCGGGGGGCAGAACCTTGCCCTGAGCTCCATGCCAAGGCCTGGCACAGCTGCAGCCCTTGCTGGGCTCCTGTCCCTGTGCCAGAGCAGAGCTCAGCCCCTGCCCCTGTGCCTGCCCTGGGGAGGAGCTGCAGCCCCCGAGGAGCCTCCCCTCAGTCTCCTGGGCTGCAGCTGGACAAACCGAGGACAGGGATGGTGATTTGGAGCTGTGTGGCTCCGCCATCCATCCTGCAAGAGTGTAAAAATCAAAAACCATGGCAGGGCGAGTGCCCAGCTGGCAGCCTGGAGAGCTCTGGGGCACAGCAGGGTCGGAGCCAGGCCCTGCGCCTTGGGGCAGCGGGAAGGAGGAGGGAGGAGGAGGGATGGGCACACGGAGAGAGAACATTTTAGCCGACCTGAGGAGGAGAAATGCGCTGAGTTCCCGCAGCTCCAGCCCCTCCAGTGCTCTGCCAGCCGTCCCCAGCGCCCTCCACCCTCCCTGGGCTCAGGCAGAGCCAGATGGAGGGAGGCACATCCTGGCTGCGTGAAGCGGGCTGGGGAGATTAATTCCGCCGGGAAAACAAGCTCAGCAGACACCGCAGAGCTCAGGACCCGTGTGTGTGTGTCTGTGTGTGTGTGTGAGCACACGCGTGTGCCCCGAGCACACACGCACAGAGGGAACTCGAATGTGTTCGTGTGTTTGCGTGTGCTCGACAGAGCCGCGGAGCCCGCGCCTCGCCTCGGAGGGGCAGCCGGGTATTGGCGATGTGGCCTCATCCTTTAATTGCTCTGCTTTGATAACAGTGATAATTGGCTGCAAATCGATACTGTTTTGCTCCTGTTTTTCCCATCCTGTCTCACCCAGCCTCCCCTCCCTTCCCGGACGCCGTCGTGCTCTCTTTAGTGGGTGACATTTAAAGGCTCTGCCACAGCCATTAGATAACCCAGGCGGAGATGATGCTGTGGAGGGAGGGCTGATGCCGGCAGGGATGGGGGCAGCTCCCCTCTCCTCTCCCACGGCTCAAGGACAGATGGACGCGATGCTCCAGCAACACGTCCTGGTGCTGTGGGAGCCACAGGGATGGGGGGACCGCTGGATCTGGGGGTGAGGGAGAGTGAGGAGGGAGAGCAACGAACCCAGGCTGTGTCAGCCAGGAGCTCCCTCCGGCTTTGGCTCTGAAAACTGTGCCAGAACACCACGGGGAAATGTGTATTAATATCACACTGCCCAGCCTGCCCTGCTCTGGTGCCCCTGCCTCCCCACAGCTCCTGCCGTGCTGCCCCAGCCACAGGTGGGATCTCAGAGCCCCCCAGGTCAGGCACCCCCTGATCCCCTTGCAACTGCCCTCAGAGCAGCCCCTGCGCTCCACCTGCCCAGCCGGGGCTGCTGGGGCTTTGTCCCCACAGAAAGTGCCCTGATCCCCAAAGCTGAAGGGTTTGAGGAGCACCAGAGGGTGCGTGGGGAGTCCCAGGGGCACACTGGGCTGGAGCTGCAGGACCCTGCCAGTCTGCAAGAGCCAAGGGACCTCATTAGCCAAGGGAGCCTTTTTGGCTGAGTGACCCTCACTAACAAAGCAGGGTGCAGGGACCCACTCTGCAGGGCTGGCAGTGGGTGAGGGATGCCTGGGAGGCTGCAGGGGTGTGAGTTACCTGTGCCCTCACTTCCATGGGCACCTCTATGCCCACTCGTCCCGGTTACCTGTGCACACACCTTCCCAGGGTACCTGTGTACTCACCATCCCCACGGAGCTGTGTGCCCACCTCTAGGAGGACCTGTGTGCCCATCTTCTGTGGGTATCTGTGCACTCACCATGCCAGGTGAAACCTGTGCTTTCACCTTCCCCAGGTACCTGTGCAGCTACTGTTGCTGGGTACCTGTGCATCTACCATCTCTGGGCACCTGTGTGCCCACTGTCACTGCTACCTGTGCACCCACTGTCCCTGGGTACCTGTGAATTCACCTTCCCCAGGTACTTGTGCACTCACCATCCCTGGACACCTACCCACTGTCCCTGGGTACCTGTGTGCCCACCATCTGTGAGTACCTGTGCACGCACCATCCCTGGGGACCTGTGTCCTTCTCTGGGTATCCACACCCACCATCCCTGTGAACCCACCCTCTTTGGATACCTGTGTACCCACCATTCCTGTACACCACCCTCTGTGCCCTCACCGTCTGTGGGTACCTGTGCATCCATCTTCTGTGGGTACCTGTACACCCATCGTCCTTGTGCACCCATCCTCTGTACCCTCACCTTCTTTGGGTACCTGCACACCCACTCACTTTGGGTACCTGTACACCACCCTCTGTGCCCTCACCCTCTCTGGGTGCCCTCACCCTCTCTGGGTACCTGTGCACCCACCATTCCTGAGTACCTGTGCACCCACTGTCACTGGGTACCTGTGCACTCACCTTCCCCGGGTACCCACACCCACCATCCCTGTGTACCCACTCTCTGTGCCCTCACCCTCTCTGGGTACCTGTGCACAAACCCTCTGTGCCCTCACCCTCTCTGGGTACCTGTGCACAAACCCTCTGTGCCCTCACCTTCCGTGGGTACCCTCACCCTCTCTGTGCCCTCACCCTCTGTGCCCTCACTCTCTGTGGGTACCTGTGCACCCAGCCTCCACTGGTACCTGCGCCCTCACCCTCTCTGAGTATCGGTACACCCACCCTCTGTGCCCTCACCCTCTCTGCGTACCTCTGCCCTCACCTACTGTGGGTACCTGTACACCCACCCTCTGTGCCCTCACCCTTTCTGGGTGCCCGTGCCCACGTCCGTGGGTTCCAGGTGCCACCTGGTGGCCGCGCTCCCGGCCCGGGGTGCTGCTGTCACCGGCAATGTCCCAGCCTGTCCCCGCACGGAGCTTTGCGCTGCCCCAAAGGCTCCCTAAGGCACCCCCAGAGCGGAGCCCGGCCCGAGCCTCTCTTCGAGCCGAACCCGGGCCGAACCCCGCCGGAGCTCAGGGCACAGATCTCTGTAGGGCTTTGGGCAGGGAGGTGCTGGGGACACTCCCTGGCCGTGGCTTCCCGGGGGCTTTGCTGCTCGGTGCTCCCCAGCCCCAGCAGAGCTGGGAGCGGGTGTTTTCTCCTGCGGGGTCTGCACCCACGGCAATGGCAGTGGGGAGGGCTGGACCCCGGCAAGGGCTTGGAGGAGAGTCCTGGAGCCCAGCAGGGGCACACGGGCTGTAAGGGGAGTCCAGCAGGGACACACGGGCTCGGAGGGGAGTCCTGCCCGCAGGGCTGGGCACACGAGCTCAGGAGGGAATCGGCCCCATGATCAGCTGGGCCACCTGAGCAAAGCTTTGAATAACCCCCCACACCCCGCAGGGCTTGCTGAAGAGCAGCAGGAACAGTTTGTAGCTGGGAATCCCTTGCAGCTGGAGGCTCCTGGAGCATCCCACTCACACTATGGATGGTGTACGGCCCCAGACCTCAGAGCTGGGGGTCTCAGCCCCTCTCCTGCCTCTGGGGCAGAGCTGGCATCCCTCCCCTATGGATGGGGTGTGAGCAGAGCGCTGTCCAGGTTCTTCCCCAGCAGTTACAGCCATGTCCCCCAACAGTCCCCTGCCCTGCAGCTGAAGGCTCCGCAGTGTCCCAGCCTCTAGAGCCATGCAATATCTGTGTCCCAGCCCCTGTAACTCGAGGGACAAGGGTCTCACCCCCCTTCCTACAGCCTGGGTGTGATTGTGACCCCTCTCTCTGCATGGGAGCTGGCTGTGTTCCACCCCACACACCCACATGAGGGTCTCAGCCCCTCAGCTACAGATGGGGCACATCTGTAACCCCGGCCCTACAGCCAAGGGGGTCAGAGCTCCCTCCCCTACAGTCAGGGCACACGGACACCGCAATCCCTGTAACCAGGGGGTCCCAGCCCTCGCCTCCATTGCTGAAGCACACCCATACCCCAGCCCCTGCCCTATGCTGCTATGCCCCCTCCCCGCTATTCCCGGAGCCCATCTACACTCCTGCGCCCATAGCCAGGGAGTCACAGCCCCCTCCCCGCTATTCCCGGAGCTCAGAGAACCCCCTGTTCTCTCAGCCCCCTCCCCGCTATTCCCGGAGCCCATCCACACTCCTGTTCTCTCAGCCAGGGGGTCACAGCCCCCTCCCTGCTATTCCCATAGCCCACCTACACTCCTATTCCCATAGGTGGGGGCTCACAGCCCCCTCCCCGGTATTCCCGGTGCCCACCTACACTGCTGTTCCCACAGCCGGGGGTCACAGCCCGCCCCGCTATTGCCGAGCACACCCACACCCCAGCCCCTGCCCTGCACCCCGCCCGTGTCCCCGGGGGCCGTCGCAGCCCCCTGCCCTGTCCCCGGCTCGCTCCGACACCCCCGGGCCCGTCCCAGGCCTCGCGTCCCCCCCGTCCCGTCCCCCCGTCCCGGGCCCTCCCCGGGGGAGGCGCTCGGGGCTCGCGCCCGCCATGTTTCCCGGCAGCGCTCCCTGCCCGCCGCCCGCCTGAGCCTCCCGGGGCCGGCCCGGCCCGGCCCGGGGCCGCCCGCCCTCCTCCGCCGCCGGTGAGTGGGGCCCGGCCAGCGGGGCCCGGCCCGGGGCTCCCGCTCCGCGCAGGCCGCGCAGCCTCGGCCTCGATTAGCGCCGCGGGCCGGGAGCGGGGCGCGGGGCCCGGCCGCGGCGGGCGGGGGCGGCGGGCCGGGGCCGGCCGCGGGAGGGGGCGGGCGGGGGTCTCTCCCCGGCCGGACGGGGGGTCCCGGCAGCCCCGGGCTGCTCGGGCACGGCGGGGGCCGCGGCTCGGCCCGTCCGGCCGGCTGGGCCGTGCGGCGCTCGGGGAGGGCTGAGCCCGCGGCCCCTTCTCTCCGCAGGGACTCGATCGACAACAGCTGCCCAGGGTTTGTCCGTGTGGCAGCGGGCGCCGGCCGGGACCCCCGAGGGATCCGCGGCTGCCGGGGCTGGCCTGGCTGCGAGTGCCCGAGGAGAGGCCGGTTTGGGCCGGGAGGGTCCCGGTGTGGCCATGGGAGCGCTGGTCTGAGCTCTGCGGGGGACCCCCGGGTGCGGAGCCGAAACCCGCATCCCCCAGCTGAGGACAAGGAGGGATAAACCAGAGGTGATCCGGTTCCGTCCCACGGGAGCGCTCCTGGCAGGGTAATGGTTTCGTGTTTGTCTTGTTTATTCCCTCGGTGAAACAAGTTTAGTAGGAGCAGGAAGGGAAGCGGCAGGGTTGGCTGGGGGGTCGTGGGTGCTTCATGCACCCCACAAAGGCAGCACTGCTGGGAGTTCCTGGTACCAACGCCGTGTCTTTGTGCCCTAGCTGGAGCCCCCGCACCCACCATGGTCCTGCGCGCATCCTCTCCCCTTGTTCTGTGTCAGAGTTGGACTGGCTGCAGCCACGTTGTCCACACACATTGGAATTGTGTGTGGTTTTTGTTTGTGCCTCATGGTTCTCATTTGGAGCACTGTGGTGGGTTTGGCCCTGTAAATGCTACACCGTGTGTGGCTGGAAGGGGCCGGTTCCTGGGGCTGGAGGTAAATGCATGTGATCCAGAGAGAAATTATTAAGATTAAATTTAAAATTAGGTTTCAGCATGTCAGCTGTTTTCCCTGGGAAGGTGTTCTGGAATCACATCTTACTGCTGGAAGGAAAACCTTATCCTCATTTCCAGCCTAACCATGCTAACATCCCCCTTACCCACGTATGTCAGAGCACAGCGTCAGTGGGTTCTTTCTGCATCCCTTGCGTCATCTTCCTGAGAATTAAAAAACTAAACCAGGCTCGAAATGAAAACCAAAATGTGACTGACTGGGCCTGCACTGGGCGTGTGAGGTGTGGGTGTTCACGGGGGGGCATCAGGAGTGCTGTGGGGGCACATTTGGTACCGGTGCAGAGCGGATTGTTGGGGTCTGACGTGCTTGTGTGTCACCGAGAGTTTAGGGAGCCTCGTGGTGCAGCAGGGAGAGCTGGGAGCCAGTTCCTGTTGGCTTTGCAGTCTGGCTCTGGGCAGCTCTGGGTGACTTAGGGCAGGCCCAGGACATGGATTTTAGGAACCCTGAGTGCTCGAGGGTCTGGGGGCCTGGTGAGGTTGTGCACGTGCAGGAACCGGGCTCTCTTGGGATCCTTTGTGCTCCTTCCTGATCAGCTGCAGCACACAATGCCCGGGTGCTCAGGCCCTCACAGCTGTTTATTTGTGATTGCTGCCTGCAGCTCGGTGCCTCCGAGGGGCGAGGATGGCTCAGGAGACGAACCAGACGCAGGTGCCTCTGCTGTGCACCACGGGCTGCGGCTTCTACGGCAGCCCCCGGACCAACGGCATGTGCTCCGTGTGCTACAAGGAGTTCCTGCAGAGGCAGCAGAGCAGTGACCGGATAAGCCCTCCAGGTAGAGGATTTTTTCTTGGAAATCTGTCCTAAATGGGTGTCTGGATACAAACTGTGTTCAATCAACTGCTTGGCCACCAGCAAATTTATCCCCTCCTAGAAAAATCATCTTTCCCTTTCTATGGATACCCAAGGACCCAAGCCCTCAAGCACTTCTGTTCCCTGTCAGGAGGGGCACTTGCTTTCTTCCCAGTCTCACCAGTTTGTGAAGCCCCATCCCAGCCAGCACCTTCCAGTAAACTGTAGAATTTCACATGTGCTAATGGTGATCCCAGCTTTCAGCTATTTCCTGCTCCCTGATTAGGTGCTGACTGCTGGGAACCATGACAAAGCCCCACAATGAAGTTTTATTTGGCCTATTTTTATCATATTCTTATCTTAACAGTGTGAAATCTAAAAGCCATGTCTTACAAGGTTTGTTTCCTGCACTTGGGATGGGAGCAAGGGAAGGATGCTCTCTGCAAATGTGAGCAGGGATTTCTTTTGCTGGGGGTTTGTGCAGTGCCACATGTACAGAGTGAGAAATGCCTCTGAGAGTTCTTCCACAGTTTATTCCTGGGGGTCATGGAATTCATCATGGCTTCCCTTGAGTCACCCACACAAAATATGCTCAGGAACATGACTTTTCCTGACAAAGGCTCTTCTTAAGACCCCAGCTTAGATCCTCAGCTGACACAAGCCCATATGTTGAAGCCTGTTCCTTTCAGCAGATGAGTATCTGGTTCTTACACCTTGGAGAAGTTACAAAGTGCCATTGAGTTCAAGATCCAGACAGCCCTGGTGTCCCACAGAGTCCCAAATTTGGCACAAATTTGGAGTAGGAACAGGGATATGGGAGTGATCCCAACAGGGATGTGCCCTCCCAGCTGCAGTGTGGAACAGGAGTGTAAGGCCTGCTGGAAGTGCTCGTTCTGCTTTCTCCTTGACTGTCCAGCACCTTAGGAACTGGCTGGTACTGCCCAGAGACCTGACCAAGCCTGCTCTTGTCTCACAGCCCCCAGTGGTCCCAGCAGCAGCCCCATGGCCCCCGAGGCCATCGCAGGACAGTGCGCGGAGGGAGACTCCACACCTGAGGATGCAAAAGCCAGGTAGGGGCAGAGTCTGCAGGGGAGGGGATCTAAACCCTGCTGAAATCCAGCTCTGGGACACAGGGGACAGGCTGTCATCCTTTATATGTCCGTAAACAGGCTGTTTGGACTTTGTGTTATGACTCTGGTTTATTTGGAAGATTGAAATGTCCCTCAATCTGCTGCTGCATCACATCATGATGGCTGATGTGTAGAGTGAGGTATCAGAGGGTTGGTAGTAAATTATCTTGGTTCTCCTGGAGCCAGTGCACCTTGTCTGTCCATGGCTCTGTTCAACTGTTCGATTTCTGCCCAGTCCCAAGTATTGGAATTTTTGGGGTTTTCCTGTGCAGGGCCAAGAGTTGGACTTGGAAGGATCACGAGGATCATCAACTCACAATGTCGTGTGATTCTAAGTGAAAGCACCTGCTGGTGACCCAGTCTGGAAGCTGTGACAGCAGGATTACAGACCTTGGGCCTGTTTGATGGGGAGGAGGACAGAGCTGCACTGAGCTCTACCATCACATTACTGCTCTGACTCATAACTGTGTTTTTCTCCCCCTGGACTTGTTTGGATAGGCTCTTGTCTTGTCTTTGAGATATAATTGGGTGCAAAAGGAAACTGAGATCATCACAGATTCATTCCATTTATGTCTATAAAGAACTTTGATCCCTGATCTCAAGGGGAATTGACCTGCTGTGCTCCTGACCTACTTTTGAATATAAGGAAATAAACTTTATGGGCTGAAGGTCTCTCCCACATAACTGTCTATCAAATGAAAATACTTGTGTTTTCTCTTTTTGTTTACCTGCTGCACATGCTCCCAGCGCTCAGACTCCTGTGACCCATCAGATGACAGCCATGAGCATATCCAGAGAGGAAACCAGCAACGAGACAGAGGAATTCAGCAAGACAGATGAAGCCTCATCGGCTTCTTCCTCATCAGGTAGGGTGGTTGGTTTGTCCTTTGCACAGATCTGAGTGCCACCGAGCTCAGGAGTCCATTGGAGCAGCAGGGACAGCTGCTGACTCCGGGGTGTGTCCCTTCCCGGCAGTAAAGACACACCTGAGAGCTGAGGAGGAAACTTGTTTTGGTGACAGGGAGGAGAGCAAATGCAGTGCTCGAGGGCAGGCTGATGGAGATTGCTCTGTGGGCTGAGGGCTGAGTGGCTGCCAGCCCTGGAGTGGCTGGCAGGAGGATAATCTTCCATGACGCCTCTCCCAGCGCATGGCAGCGAGCCCGGAGCGTCCCACAGCCTGACGCTGCCGGCACTCCCCTGCCAGCTCCCGAGGGGGAGGCAGGGAGAGGGATCCATCCCAGCCTTGCAGAGAGGGGACTCCTTTGTGGCAGTGCCTGGGGGTACTGGAGGCCTGCTGTTGTCACCCTGTGTGGTGGGGGAGCTGTCCCTCGGGGGGTGTTACACAGGGAGTGCCCTGTGTGATGGAGGAGCAGCAGAGGCACTGCCCAGTGTGGCACATCCTCCAGCTGATGCCATGAGCAGGTGATGTGCATGCAGACACCCTCCTTTGCTCAGCTGACAGCTTTTGCATTGAAAGCTAAAAAAACCCAGGAGCTGCTGGTTGCTAAAAAGCCAGGCTCTAGTCACCACACATGGCTGGGCATTGTGGGTTAGGTAATCTCTGCTTGCCTGCAAGCCCAGGGGGCAGTTTACAACAGGCAGGTGAGAGGCTGTTAAAAAGAGGCTTGGGAGAGCCTGCCCCTTTCATCTGCCTGTGTAATTTTTAGGAGGCTGTTTAGGGTAAGCTCCACAAAGCTGTCTCTGTTTTGTCTCCTCAGAGCAGCCTGCACCACAGGTGCTCCAAGGAGCAGTTGGAGCTCCTCCCTCCTGTTGACTTCTCTAACCTGCTTAGGTACTGGAGGAAATCCTGCTAAGCATCAATGACCTTTAACAATCTGGCTTTGAGAGCTCAGTTTTCCCTTTGGTAGATTAGAGGCAGTGATGGATATCTGTGTAAAGCATTCTAAGACCTACATTTGGGGAACACTTACATAAGAGTCAGCAAAAATAATTAGTAGTACTTACAAGGGGTTAATTTTTTTTCTCCCTGCGAAGATTAACTGTGGGCTCAGCTGACAGCTGTGTTGCTGTACAGCAGCTGAGCTGTAGTGACTATCCAGTCACTGTCCAGTGGCCAATTCATCTTTGGATTTAAAGCATTTGAAACAGAGAGAAAGCTGTGAGGTGGAGGTCTCAGTGGAACAGGGCAAATCTCACAGTTTGTGGTATGACAGCCAGGGCACACAGAGAGTCATCAGAGCCTCAAGCAGCTCCTATAATAAAATGAATATTTGGCTTATCAAGAAAGGCAGCAAAACTCTTGCCTCTGTTTCAGGTACCCTGCTTGAGATATCCCAGAACACGGCTGAGGGCAAGACGGCTTCGGAAAAACCGAAACCGAAGAAGAATCGCTGCTTCACCTGCCGGAAGAAGATTGGGCTGACTGGTGAGTGCCTGCCTCTGGGAAAGCTTCCCTGTGCCCCAAGCAGCCCAGAGTGAGAGCCCTGTGAGCACAGTGCTGTGGTGCTGCTGGGTTTGGAGGGTCAGGCTGGAGGTTCCCCCCAAATCCATCCTGGAGCCGTGGTGCTGCAGGAGAGGAGGGAGGAGAGCTCTGACCTGCAGCAGCACTGGCTGAGGCAGCAGCCTGGGGAGCATCCCACTCACTGCCAGGGTCCTGGCAGCCCTTGGGAGCAGGATTGGATGCAGCAGCACCTCTTGGTTGTTCCTGCTTCTTGGCAGAAGCTGCTGTAGAGGAAGGCAGAGCTCGCTGTGGATTGGAATCCGCTCCCGGTCAGGTCTGTGGTAAAGCTTTCGTAACAGTGACATGAACTGAGCTAGACCCAAATGGAAAATCCCTCTCCAAGACTCATCCCATTTGTTAATGCTGCCTGATTTCCACTGTTAGCTTCCTGAGAGCAGGATGGCTCTCAGCATGCAGCCTGTAAAGCTGGAGAGAGAAGTGCTGGGATGGTGTCAGGGCACTGCTATCAATGGGAAAACAGCTTCTGGAAAGTGAAGCAATTAATTTGGCTGTGGTTTGTTAATAAAAACATCATTCCCCTAAATTATCTCTGGCATTTAGTGCTTCTCTGGAAGAAAGTTAACTCTGGAGCTGTACAGGTCATGCTGTTCTGGCAGAGCACTTGCTTCTGTAGCCTGCTTGGGGCATCCAGCACCCAGGGACTGGCTGTTTTCATGGATATAAGAGGCTTTGGCCAAGTCTAGACTGGAAAGTTTGAACCTGAGCTTGCCTGGAAATCCACTGTCCTAAAATAGGGGTGGCTTTATAAATGTGGATCTGGGCTGGGTGCTCTGTGCCCAGCCTTCAGGTTGCAGAGAAGATTGTTTTCCTGGATGAGGCTTTCCTTTAAACTATGAGAAGTTCTCTTCTTTAGGATTCAATTTACAGAGAATGCCTGTGAATTCAGGGCATTTAGGATAAAATGAGTTTTCTCAACCAGGAGTAAACTGGCACCTTGGAGCAAGGTGTTGGTGGGCCTATAGCTGGAAAAACATGAAGGGACAGAGCAGGATTCCCTGCTGTCCTGCAGCACATCCCCTGCCTTGCTTTCCCAGTGTGCTGTGTTAATGGTAGCACTCTGAGCATTGTCTCTGAATGAAGTGACTAAACTGGGAATTCTGATGCCTGAGTAGCTCAGACATGATCCTGTGGTGGTGACAGCTCTGCTGCTTGCTGCTGGTCAGCCCAGCTGCTGCTGTGTGACCCTGGGGAGCTGGGCTGGCTTGGAGGGCTGAGCTCCAGCTCGGGCTGCCTGGGGAGCCGGGTCTGGATTAGCAATCTGGCACTCTGCAGTGCCTGGCACGTCCCTTGTCCCCAGGGAATGTGGACAGCAGCTGCTCTGGGAGCCTTTCCCACCATGTGACAGCTGGGGCTGCCCAAAGCACACAGAGCTCCTGAGCCAGAGCAAAGCCAAGAGCCACCCATGAATGAAGAATGAAGAGTCCCTTTGGCCTGTGGGGAGCTGCAGGCCCCCTCCCTTGCTGCTCTCTCTGCATTGGTGGCATTTCCTGGCGTGGCAGGAAGGAGCCAGGCCCTGCTGCCTTCCTGCCCAGCTGGATGGGGTCTGATGTGGCTTTGTCCCTGCTCTTCCTCCCATCAGGCTTCGACTGCCGCTGCGGGAACCTGTTCTGTGCCATTCACCGGTACTCTGACATGCACGCCTGCCCCTACGACTACAAGGCAGAAGCTGCCGAGAAGATCCGCAAGGAAAACCCCATCGTTATCGCCGAGAAGATCCAGAAGTTGTGAAGGGGTCCGAGCAGCTCGAACTGCAGCCAGGCTGCCTGGTGCTCCTCCCCTTCCTCCCAGCCTTCCTCCTCCTCCTCCCAGCCCCCGCGGCGGTGCGAGGGTGGCTCCGGCAGCGCACACAGACCGGCACCTGGACACGGGGCCTCCTCGCGCGTCCGGCAGTCACTTGGTGTTCCTCCTCTCCCTCCCTGCCTGCCCGACAGCCACAGCTCAGCTGATGTGTTCTCAACCAGCTTCCCAAAGGAAAAGGGACCGTCCTGCCCCACTGCTCTGGCTCTGAGACCTTCGCACTCGCCTCTTGCTGGGCACGGTGGGAAGAGCCGGGCTCAGCCGGGCTCAGCCTTTCCCTTCCCGGCGGCTCCGAGTCCTGCAAACCACCCAGGGCTTGTGGCCACAGTCCCTGAGCAGCCTGGGCTCTGTCCCTCTGCCTGCAGCCCCGGGAGCTGGGGGATCCTGGCAGCCAGGCTGCCGTCTGCTCCCCGGGAGGTGTTTGCTCTCCCATGCAGAGAAGTTGATTCTGTAGTTCCAGCACCCCACACCCCTCTCCCCACCCTCTGTTGATGCTGTTGGAGAAGCACCAAGGGGGCTGAGAAGTGATGCTGGCACAGGGAAGAGATTTTGTGGCTTGAAGTGAGGTGGGCAGGGCAGGGCAGGACCTTCCAGAAGGTTCTGCTGGCTGCCTTGTGCCTCTCCCCACAGGGAGCACAGGCTCCCTGCTCCAGCCTCCTGCTCCAGCACCCCTGGATAACCCCGGCTGCTTTCCCAGCAAGGTGTGTGTCCCTCAGTGCTGCCTGTGCCTGCTCTCCCCTCTCTCCTCTCCCCTCTCCCTTCTCTCTCCCTGCCTTCTGCCTTACACGAGTCGCTCTCATCAGGGTTGTGCACAAAGCTCAGGTCCCCACACCTCTGCTTCTGGACCTGTCCCTGCAGCCAGGTGACAGTGGGGTCCCCTCCTCCCATGTGGGCCATGCTGGCATTGGGGAGAGCTTGGGGAGCCCACCCAGCTGCCCTCCTCTGCTTCCTCCCTCCCTGTGGGCTGAGAGGCAGGGCCAGGTCCCCAGGAGATGCTCTGCAAGCCAGACAGAGGGAACTGGGGCATGGGGAAAGTCACAGGGAGGGTCCCAGGGTGCCCAGAGGTCCAGGTGGGGGCTCAGAAACACCCATGGAGAGACCCAGGGAGCAGGGAGAGGTGCTTGGAGGGCTCTGGGCTCACTGAGAGAATTCCCTGAGGTGCTGGCAGGCCCAGGGGGGGCTCTGGGGTGCAAGGGAAGGCAGAAGGAGAACTTTGGGGTACAGTGAACATGCTCAGAGGCCTCAAGCACCCCAAAAGCCACTTGGAAGGCTCTGGGGGTGCACACACTCAGTCACACAGGAAGGGAGTTATAGGAAAAACCAAAAGCCGCTCAGTACCACTGCAGAAAGGGCACCTGGAGGGCTCTGTTGGGAGGACCCGGGGCTCAGGGATGCAGCACAAGGCAGGCAAAGGCTCCTGGGGCACAGCCACAGCCTCTGCCATGCCCAGGGGATTCCTGGGAACACCAGGAGCGGGGCTGTGGCTCTTGCAGAGAAACCCGGCTGTGTCCCGGGGGACGAGCAGCAGCCTCTGTCCCACTCTGCTGGCCATCCCACGCTTTGGAAGCTTTCCCTCGGTGTCAGCAGAGCTGCAAGGCCCAGCTGGGGGAGATCTCAGCAGCTCCTTCCTCCCAAGGGCTGTTTTCCTGCCCTGCCTGTGGCAGTTCTGCCCAGGTGCTGCTGGGGGGATCCCTCTGAGTGGTGTCTGCAGTCTGCTCCAGCCAAAGCAGTGTGTGCTCTGTGCCAGCTGCCAGCAGCATCTGAACCTCCCAAACTGCTGCAAACCCCCCCTCCAGCACTGAGAGGAGTGAGGCTGCCTCTCACCAGCCTTTTCCTCAGGATTTTCCTTCTGGATAACATTGACATCATGTCTGGGGCAGGCAAGTGGCTGCAGCCCTGCACACACCTGGGAGCTGGAGCTGGTGTGTGGCCAGGCTGGGTTTGCCACTGAGCTTTTGGCTGAGGATGATGCCTCAGCCTCGGGGGATGCAGGAATTGCAGCCACCAGCCCCAGGGAAGTGCAGCAGCTGCCATGGATCCCTTGGGAAAGCCCACAGCCACCTGCTTCTCCAGCACCGCCCCTTTCCCTGTTCCCCCTCCCTGTCCATGAGTGTAAATACAACACAGTCTAGTTTGCTTGGATGCTGTGGGTGCTCTGTTTCAGGCAGGGGTGTCTGTGGGGCTTGGCTTGGCTCTTTTGGGGTGGCTCTGGGGCTCTGTGCCTCAGTTTCCCTGTGGATGATCACTGACAGTACCTGGAGCTGGCTGGGGATCAGACCTGCACCCCCAGATCTCAAACCCACCAGGGGCTGGGCTGCATGATCCCCAGAGGTCACTGCAACCCTGACAAGTCTGGATGAGCAGGAAGCCCCAGCTGGGTTTGAGGGTCTCTGAGGTTCTCCTGGGTTCCCTCTTGTCTGCAGTCACCCCTTGGGGCAGGAAAGGGAGTTTGGGACAGCAATGCCTCCCCCTCCATATCCACATGGGGCATTTGGGCTGTGTGGGGCACCAGGATGACCTCAGCAAGGCTTGGCTTGGTGACATCTCTGTGGGGAAACACACGGGAAATGGGGGAGGATGGACTGGGGGGAGGGCCTGGATGAAGGCAGAGCTCCGAGGGCCTGGTGGGCACAGCAGAGCCCCCCTGTCCCCATTGCTGTCCCCAGGCATGAGAACCTCCTCCAGCCCCTCTGCCTGAGGGACAGATCAGATCGTCATCGGCTTTCACGGTGATTCAGAGCAGGGGAGTGACCAATTCACCTGCAGGCCCTGCTGCTATCCAGAGGGACCCTGAGGGGCTGGGTGGGGGGGGGTCAACAAGGGCAAGTGTAGAGTCCTTGTGGACCCCTCAGGGGCCAGCACGGGCTGGGGGTGACCCATGGAGAGCAGCTCTGCAGAGGGACCTGGGGGTGCTGGGGGATGGCAAACTGTCCCTGAGCCAGCAGAGTGTCCTGGGGCCGGGGGGACACTGGGACCCTGCCCCTCTGCTTGGGGGGCACATCTGGGGTGCTCTGTCCTGTTCTGGGACAAGAAGGACAAGGAGCTACTGGGGAGGCTCCAGAGATGATTTGGGGTCTGGAGCTTCTCTCTGATGAGGAGAGGCCACAGGAGCTGGGCTTGGTTAATCCAGAAAAGACTCAAGAGTGTTGGATGTTTGGTTTTTTTAAAAAAGACTATAAAATAAGACAGTTTAAAGTCACAAAAACTCCGAAGTTACATTTGGGAGTATAATAGTAGGGAGAACAGGCAGGTTTACATCGATACAAAGCAACCCCAGCTCCAGAGCAGTGACGAGCAGCCCGTTCATGGAGTCCAGCTGCCTTTGGGATGTCGCAGTGCTGATCAAAATATCCAAGTGCCGCTGAACTCCTCCACTCGCTGCTTGCGGGTTTTCAGCGCTTTCTTCAGGATCCCCTCATTGGCCGCTTCTCCTGCATCTTCTCCAAGGCCATCTGAGCCAGGGTGCGCTTGTCCAGCTGTCCTCGTCCTCCTCCTCCTCGTCTTCCTCCTCATCCTCCTCCTCTTCCTCCTGGTCCTCGTCCTCCTCTTTGTAGTCCTCCTCATCCTCCTCCTCATCATCCTCGTCCTCCTCATCGTCCTCATCCTCGTCCTCCTCATCCTCATCCTCGTCCTCCTCTTCGTCCTCATCCTCCTGGTCCTCGTCCTCCTCATCCTCCTCATCCTCGTCCTCCTCATCCTCGTCCTCCTCATCCTCCTCATCCTCGTCCTCCTCCTCATCATCCTCGTCCTCCTCCTCATCCTCCTGGTCCTCATCCTCCTCATCCTCGTCCTCATCCTCCTCCTCATCGTTGTCCTCCTCCTCCTCCTCCTCCTCCTGGTCCTCGTCCTCCTCATCCTCATCATCCTCCTCCTCCTCTTCCTCCTCCTCTTCCTCATCCTCGTCCTCCTCATCCTCCTCATCCTCGTCCTCCTCCTCATCATCCTCGTCCTCCTCCTCATCCTCCTGGTCCTCATCCTCCTCATCCTCGTCCTCATCCTCCTCCTCATCGTCGTCCTCCTCCTCGTCCTCCTCATCCTCCTCCTCGTCCTCTTCCTCCTCCTCCTCCTCCTCCTCCTGGTCCTCGTCCTCCTCATCCTCGTCATCCTCCTCATCCTCGTCCTCCTCCTCATCATCCTCGTCCTCCTCCTCATCCTCATCCTCCTGGTCCTCGTCCTCCTCATCCTCGTCCTCATCCTCCTCCTCATCGTTGTCCTCCTCCTCCTCGTCCTCCTCCTCCTCCTGGTCCTTGTCCTCCTCATCCTCATCATCCTCCTCCTCCTCTTCCTCCTCCTCTTCCTCATCCTCGTCCTCATCCTCCTCCTCATCGTCGTCCTCCTCCTCGTCCTCCTCATCCTCCTCCTCGTCCTCTTCCTCCTCCTCCTCCTCCTCCTGGTCCTCGTCCTCCTCATCCTCATCATCCTCCTCCTCGTCATCCTCCTCCTCGTAATCCTCCTCGTCCTCCTCCTCGTCCTCATCCTCATCCTCCTCCTCCTCCTCGTCCTCTTCCTCCTCCTCATCCTCGTCCTCATCCTCATCCTCCTCCTCCTCCTCCTGGTCCTCGTCCTCCTCATCCTCCTCCTCGTCCTCCTCGTCCTCCACCTGGTCCTCCTCCTCCTCCTCCTCCTCGCTGCCCGTGATCTGCTCCGGCATCGGGGCTTTCTCTTTCGCCTCCTTCTCCCGCTTGCCGACCTCCAGGGCTCCCCCGCTGCCCTTCATCCGCAGGGGACCGCACTCCATGACTTTTTTTCAAACTTCTCAGTTTTTGTCAAAATTTATACAGTCCCAAACCCATACAAATCCATCGGTTTAATGTTCATTGGTCCCGAGTTGCGCAGTTCTTAGTATTTGGTTTCCTATTGGATACGGATTTCCTCGCCTCTGATGTTAATTAGGTCTTCACTCCTAATTTGGGGTAGATGTTCGCTGATGTTTCGCCAATGGCCCTTGATGGCCCTTATCTCTTGTGTATCTCTCGGCCCCTGTGATGCCGATCTCATTGTTCCTGGTGGAACATTGCTTTGGAGGGAAACTGCCGTTCCCTTCCCCCGGGGCAAAGGCGAACAAACGTGGCTAAAGTTAAGAAATAAAAATTTTAAACTTGGTATATTGTCCAACAAGAGGCGATCTCACCAATCCACCTAAATATCTCCAACGTGAGTGCCAGACCCCTTCCAGTGGTGCAATGGCCATAAATTAAATTAAACCACAAGTTCCACCTCAACGTGAGGAAAAGCTTATTTACACTACGGGTGGCAGAGCACTGAGCAGCTGCCCAGGGAGGCGGTGGAGTCTCCCTCTCCGGAGACATTTCACGTGCTCCAGGTGGCCAAGGCCGGCCTGGATGATATTCGGATATTCGGGTCCCTTTTGGGATCCATTTGGGATTTTGGGATCCATTTGGGATTTCGGGCTCCAGGGGCCGAGCAGAGGCCGCGCCGCCTCCCCGCCATGAGGCGGCCGCGCTGTTCCCATGGCAACGGGCGCGCGACGATGGCGTCACTTCCGGCCGGGGCGGGGCCAGCGCCGCCCCCGCCTGGGAGGCCGCAACGGCCGCGGGGCCTCGGGCAGCGGCGAGCGGGGCCGGGAGGATGAGCAGGTACCGGGCGGGCACGGCCACACGGGCCGGG